CTTGTAAATTGACTTTAAAGGTTGACTGAATACATGCACCCTAGCAATCAAAGCATGTTATGTATTAATGAGGAGAGGCCAAACATTTCTGAAAATGTGCAGGACACTGGAAAGACTGATGTGCTGACTCTATACAACAATCTTTTGATTGGATAAGTTCTTATTGGTAATGTACACCAATCAACCATAACCGTATGACCACTGAAGCTGATACCAGGTAAAAATTTGGGGGCTTACATGGCTTCCATTTGTAGAATACATTTAATCACAGCACTTTCTTAATTTGTGAGTTTATATCAGCATATCAGCATAGAGTTTATCTTTAAGGTACAGAAAACAAATAGTGTACCATCAACAGGACATATCCAGTGTTAGCCAAAGTTTGCAGAGGAATAGAAAGCAATGTGGCCATTTCTAACACAATACTGTATAGGATAATTTAAACTCATCAGGGTAGTAACATGTTACAAAAGGATCTTAACCACTTGCCCTCCAGAGGATTTACCCCCCTTCTGACCAGGCCATTTTTAGCGGTACGGCGCTGTGTTACTTTAACTGAAAAGTGTGCGGTCATACAATGCTGCACTCAAATAAAATGTATGTCCTTTTTTCCCCACAAATTGAGCTTTGTTTCGGTGGTATTTGATTGCCTCTGCATTTTTAATTTTTTTTGCGCTATAAACAAAAAAGTGACAATTTTGAGAGAAAAACAATATTTTTGACTTTTGCTATTAAACAAGTCCAGTAAAAAAATTTCAAAAATCAAATTTTGTCTTACATTTAGGTCAAGATGTATTCTGCTACATGTCTTTGCTAAAAAAAAAATCTCAATACGTGTAAATTAATTGGTTTATGTGAAAGTTATAGCATCTACAAATGACGATATATATACTGGATTTTTTTTGTTATACTAGTAATGGCGGCGATCAGCGATTTATAGTGGGACTGCGGCAGGCATTTTGACACTGGGGGGGGGGGACTGACTAACTGTCACCGACATCCCCAGTGACACCAATACAGTGATCAGTGCTAATGAAGAGCACTGGCACTGTACTAATGACACTGGGCGGGAAGGGATTAACATTTGTGGTGATCAAAGGGTTAACTGTGTGCTGTGTATGTGCTTTACACTGTAAACACGCTGCTTTGTATGGCTCTGCTATGCAGAGCCATACAAAGCAGTGTGCAGGAGCTGACAGGGGAGAGATCTGTATTGTTTACAAACAGGTTCCCCGTCCGTGATACACTGTGATCGCCAGGTGCCGGTGGGGAATCACCCTACCTGGAAATGCTACATCACGTACATATATGTGATTTGCGCACACCTGCCGCCCTCTAGCAGTATTTCTGCTATAGGGTGGCGGGAAAGCGGTTAACAAAAGAGCATCAAGCTTAATTACGGTATATGAAAATCCTGAGCTTGTAAAACAACCAATTCAGTTTAAAATACAAATGTAGAGCAAAATGTTTGTCCATATATATAAATAAACATTACAAATTCCGTTTAAGTGATTGCTGCATAAAGGGCTTAGAGAGGTGGGGGTGGAGACTGTAGAAGAATGTGTCAGCAGGAGGCAGAGAAACGCAGTAGGTTGATCTTCCTAGTAAAAAGCTGGGCGGGAGTGGGCATGGCAGCACAAGTCTGACCATTGGAATGCAGGCAGGCTATGCTCCCAAGAAGAATTCAAAGAAGAAAACTGACCTTGCTGGGATGGATGTGCTTCTATGCCTAGCATGGCCAGTTTGATTGGCCCTGTGCTGATCACATGCACTCTCTAAAGGAAAAAAAAACCTCTCTAGCAATATACAGCAAACTGAGCATGTGCAGCTTGCCCCAGATCTTCTGTTCTATCAGGAGATATTATTAGACACTGGAAGAAGGGGAGGATCAGAGAAGTCAGGGTGAAACATTTTTTTTTGCCGAGAACTCCTTAGGTTCCACAATGAGTATAACAAGCATGATTTACTGCATAAACAGACTGATTTTACTGTTGTGGGTTTAGTAACACTTTAATGCACAAAAACACAATACCCAATTTTTTGGTAAAATATAAAAGATGATGTTACACCGAGTAAGTAGATACCAAGCATGCCACATTTTAAAATTGTGTGCGCCAGTTTAGAGTTACAGAGGAGGTCTGAATGAATGCTAGAATGATTGCTCTCGGTCTGATGTTCATGTAATCACAGCTTACATATGCGTGTGGGACTGCAGCATACATTCATGTTTGCATTAGTGTTTAATCACTTTTATTGCTATCACAAGGTTTGAACGACATCCCTTGTGATAGCATGGGCTGTGACAGGTCCTCTTTTTTGAGAGATCTGGGGTTTATAGGCTCTCCTCTGGCATCCAAAGCATCAGATCACACCAAGATTGGTGTGATTTAATGCTTGTGCATGCTGATAATGGCTTGTTTATGTGAGACCAAAACAGGAAGAGACTAAATCCTCGTTGTAACGAACGAGATGCCTGACCCCTGCCATTCTCACCAACTTGTGACAAATGACCAGCCAATCTAACACCACACATAACAATGCCACTCTCAGCTACACCATGCACAAAGATTTTCCAGCTTACGGGATTACAATCTAGGTGCCACAGCCTGAGAGTGATGGTCACTGGGTTAAGTTAGTATCACCAGCACCTTTTGACTGAGAAGGTGGGAACTCATAATCTTAGCAATAACAAACATGAAAAACCAATGTCTGTACACACAGTCACCACAGACAGGTACATTCGGATTATAGTACAGTAGCACTTTTCAAGAGACAGGCATACCTTTAGTTTGCATTAAATAGGGTTTAATGATGAAAAGGTCAGAATGGTGCAAACAAAATATTTACAGAAAAAAACAAAGAAACAAAGAAAACAATAAAACAACAGAGAATTAAGAAGGAGTTGAAAATGCAGAATGCTTGCAAAGCCCTTCATTTTAACAGAGTCCAAATGTCCAAGCACAAATGGTGCCGTGGCTCTCTCAAGTCCGCTTTGGGGTTCCTTGGTTGATGTTAAAAAGAGAGCTGTTAGAAGGTCCTGACATTTCCTTTTTCTGTCGTATCAAAGGGGTGTTGCCAGAGACCATCTAGTAAATTACGCGATTTAAGGGGTGGGTGCTGGGAGGTCACCACATTTATGACCAAGTCCCAAATACAGTTTTATACTAATATTAATATCTTCCACTATGTACAGGTTATACTCTGGAAACTGGTAGATTATTGTCCAGCATTATATTTTGTGTCCAGGGATACCAAACACAGATATTTTGGATGGGCCTGTCACCCAGAAGATAGGAGATTGCTATCCCACCCTCGGTATGTGCTAGCTTAGTCATGTATGACCTTTATTTGTTCAGTATGATATTCCCCATTCAAATATATACTTAATATTAATGTGTCTTGGTCCTGTTGGATTTTATGATTTGTGTGTGGATTTTGTTAAATTGTGAATTGGACAGAGGTCTCAGAGAGGTCACCCATGCCTGGCTGCTTTCTGGGTAGACGTTGTATGGCACACTATGCATTCCTAGATCTTTAATTGCCATACACATTATGTGTGGAAGAGGGATGGATTTTGTCATTGTTTTACAATATATCAGAGGGAATTGTTAATCTGTAGGGATTTTTTTGGTCCGTGGAAACAGGTATTTTGCCAGGCTTCAATTAGTGGTTTACAGCACTGACAAAGGCCTGTGTGCTGGTGTACTAATGCACACAATCATTACACTTGTCACTTTTAGTTTCTGATGTCACACAGGGGAATGGTACCTGTTCCTCCCACCATGTCTCAGGAACAGAATGTCATGGTTGCATCCTTACCAGGCTCCCCAATTGCATGGGAAATCTTGGTAGCAGCAGTGGCAGGAGGGGGGGACCCCCTTCAGCCACCTGTAAAAGTAATATAGTAGCACTTTAGCCGCTCGGCTTACTTTTACAAGATGCAGAATTGCCGGCAGTAAAAAATTATATCTCGGTGATCGGTCATATCACCCTTCCCTTCCAAGGATGTTTGGGTACATCCTATGGACAGGAAGTGGTTAATATCACTTTAATCTATGGAAAGCCCTTCCACAAAAAAATGTAACAACAAAAATAATACATTTTAAAAAGTTTGGATGTAAAATGGTTGTAAACTCTCAAGGTTTTTCACCTACATGCATTCTAAGCATGAAGGTAAAAAACTTTCTGTGTACTGCTCCTCCCATAGCTCCTCTTATACTTACCAGAACCTCATCACGATCCAGCGATGTGCATGAGAGACTCAGCTCTCCAGGGACTCTCCCTCCTCATTGGCTGAGACAGCAGTGGGAGCCATTGGTAGCCATTCTGAATGACCTGTGTAGTTCATTCCTGCACATGCACACGTGTTCAGTCATCCCGGCACATAGGATCTGAGCTGGAATTTAAGCTAAGCTCAGCCTGCACAGCAGAGTGTACATACTAAAGAAGACTGTGAAAAGGCACATGGGTTTATTTTATTGCAGAAGTAACATTGCATGTCTTTTCTGCAATAAAGAGCCTGGCAACTCGCAGTCCTTAAAGTAGAAACTTTAGTTCCACTTTAAGTTTCTAACGGGTAGAATTAATGTCCTTTTTTTCAGCATACAACTATGTTACTTTGTTCATACTAAATAGACTAGACACCCAGTCTTGGTCTGTGCATTTTGTTTGCTTTTCCTCATGTTTGTTACAGATTGTGTCAAATGGGAAGTGCTGAAATTAATCTTCTGCTTTCAACATGATATTAAACACTTATTGATGATTGCATTCTCCTGACTTACCACATTTAACATATCAGAGAAATGCAGTTACCATTTAAAGCAAGCTCACTATAGTATTAGGAAACAGCAGATTTGTACTTGTTAACAGCATAAAAAAATAATTGATTATTAGCAGCTATGAACCTGAGATTAATAAAAGAGCTAGGATGATACAAATACAAAATCCAAGCAGTATATAGTTTTGAGACATGCACTATATTGCCAAAAGTATTGGAACACCCCTCCAAATCATTGGATTCAGGTGTTCATTCATGTTTCAATCAGCTCTACGGCCACAGGTGTATAAAATCAAGCACCTAGGCATGTAGACTGCTTCTACAAACATTTGTGAAAGAATAGGTCACTCTTAGGACCTCAGTGAATTCAAACGTGGTACCATGATAGGTTGCCACCTGTGCAAGTCCATCCATGAAATTTCCTTGCTACTAAATATTCCACGGTCAACTGTTAGTGGTATTAGAACAAACTGGAAGTAACTGGGATCGACAGTAACTCAGCCACGAAGTGGTAGGCCACGTAAAATGACAAAGCTGGGTCAGCGCATGCTGAAGCGCACAGTGCACAAAAGTCACCAACTGTATGTAGAGTCAATAGCTAAAGACATCCAAACCTCATGTAATCTTCAGATTAGCACAACAACAATGCGTAGAGAGCTTCCATGGCTGAGCAGCTGCATCCAAGCCTTACATCATCAAGTGCAATGCAAAGCATTGGATGCAGTGGTGTAAAGCATGCCGCCACTGGACTCTAGAGCAGTGGAAATGTGTTCTCAGGAGTAACGAATCCAGGGGCGGACTGACCATTTGGAAACTCGGGCGCTGCCCGAGAGCCCAGGGTCAGTAGGGGGCCCCATGAGATGCCCCTGGTACCTTTTTCATAGGCTATTTTGAGTTTGGGCTAGGACACAGGGGCCCCATGAGTTGTCAGTCCGCCCCTGGACGAATCACGCTTCCCTGTCTGGCAATGCACGTTTCTGGGTTTGGTGGTTGCCAGGAGAATGGTTCTTGCCTGACTGCATTGTGCCAAGTGTAAAGTTTGGTGGAGGGGAGATTATGGTGCCAGGTTGTTTTGCAGGGGTTGGGCTTGGCTCCCTAGTTCTAGTGGAGGGAACTCATAAGGCTTCAGCATACATTTTGGACAATTTCATGCTCCCAACTTTCTGGGAACATTTTGGGGATGGTCCCTTCCTGTTCCAACATGACTGTGCACCAGTGCACAAAGCAAGGTCCATAAAGACATGGATGAGCAAGTGCAGGGTGGAGGAACTTGACTGGACTGCACAGAATCCTGACCTCAACCTGATAGAACACCTTTGGGATGAATTAGAGAAGAGACTGCGAGCCAGGCTTCTCATCCGACATCAGTGCCTGACCTCACAAATGTTCTTCTGGAAGAATGGTCAAACATTCCCATAGAAACACTCCTAAACCTTGTGGACAGCCTTCCCAGAAGAGTTGAAGCTGTTATAGCTGGGTGGGCCATTTCAATATTGAACCCTACAGAATAAGACTGGGATGCCATTAAAGTTCATGTGCATGTAAAAGCCGGCGTCCCAATACTTTTGTCAATATAGTGTATATCATAAAATCTGAACTGTCAGCAATGAAACCTTTAAAATAAATGGTTACTTTTATTGGATTTTTAAACAGTTAATATATATGACCTGAAGCTGAATACCTAATTTAATGGGAGGTTTATATTATCCGGCATAGATGTTGCACTATTTTAATTGTTGCTGCTGTCTTAAAAACCCAGTAAGTGAATGTCTATGTTCAATCAGGAGCAAATTCCTCCTGACTTCAGCATGCAGCCCCATATAGTGGCATCTGTGCTACAAATGAATTATTATCTTAGCTCTGTATAGTTCTTTTTTTTCAGAGTGGTTAGTGAATCTTCATCTAATAACAAATTGGATTCTTCTTTTTCAGTTGCTGACTGGAAAACCTCCAATCCATTTCTTGTCATAGGATAACACTGTGTTATTAAAGCAGCCGTGATGAAATGTTCCCTTGAGAAATCAGGTATTGATCTGGAATTGATTCACTAACCGCTCCCCTGGTCATTCCCTGACAGAGCTCTCTCTCTCTCTTCAGATATTCAGCTTGGCGGTTCCCTGCTACCCAGCATTCCTACCCAGACTTCAATATTCACAATAGTCCTCATTCATCTCTAGTCTCTAGATAATTGTAGATGTAGAGGTGAACAATTGCTGTCCAGTTGCCCCTTGGGTCACTTTATATTAATTTTGTTAAAATCCAACAAATTCATTTGGCACCCATCCCACTGAGTTACTATAGAAACCACTAATATGATTAGACTAATGTGATGAAATAAAGTAGAGAAAGTACATTATATGGGACAAGCCACACAAGCCAATCCTTTTCTATGCAATGCAAGACCTGTAGTGTAGCCACACCTTACACAGAGAGATGCAAAAACACAAACATTAATTGCTGTGCTGCTATTGGCTCATCTCAATGTTATATGCCTATGCCAGTAACAAAACTCACAAATCCAAGCTATTTAATGCACATAGAGTACATAGAATACTATCATTGTGCCAGGGGCTGCAACAGTTTTATTCAGGTATCCATTTTAGGTTTAAAGCTAAACTCCCAGCAGCTTATTTTGCTGCACTGAAATCCCTAAGTGGTGTTGTAGCTCACCTTATTTCTCCCTTTTGGACTACAGAATATCTATACATTTATGTTATGAATGTAGCGCTTACCCCCGAAGGAGCCACTTTTTCTCTGGTACCCTTCTCCTCTGCTCATGGCTCTGTAAATAACACCATGCACTCTGACACACCTGGCTGGGTGGGGAATATTTATTGCAGATGAATATACAGTACCAAGGTGGCATAAGAGATATGAACAGTAATGACACAGCAACCAGTAAACAATAGCAAGGAATGGGTGAACAATAGAAAGTATGCAAATGGGTGAACAATAGAAAGTAATGAACTGAAAAAATAAACACTTGTCGAAGGGAGCAACCCCTTCTAAACTCTATCACAGTTCAGCAGCCTGTAATATATTCTCTTCTGCTGGCCAGCTTATTGGGGCCCAACTGTTAAGTCGGAACACTCAGGATAATGTCCCTTTAAGCCCTGATAAATGCACTAGCTCTGTAAGATATACAGGCAACACTGTTCCACATTTGTAAAATAGTAGAGGGGGTCTAACCAGCGGCCTTTCACCAACACCTGTGGCAGCAGGTGATCTCCATCTTTTCCTGTTGGCAGCACAACCGTTTGGTGTCCACAGTATCTTCCCCCTTGATTGGGCAGCGGGCTATGTCAGCATTCATGACACTCCCCGGTGTTCTAGGATGTCTGGCACTGCTCCTTGCTCCCTTTCAGGTGTGGTGAATGGTTTGCTTGCAGCCTGAAGCACACTCAGTCCCTCTGAACATCCTCCACTCTCTCCTTCTCATGAATATGGGACCTGTAGTTGCTTTGCTCAGTCTACCAAGTCAGTTCAGTCTGTAAAGAACCACACCTCCCTCAATCCTCAATTCCTCCCAGTGTTCCAAGCAGTCCACATCCTCTTCCTCTGTGTTTTCCTTTTGGGTAGAGGGCAGGTGTAACACTTGCCGCACATGGTTCCTGCAAGTTCTCTTCCTCTGCCAGCACTGTGTACCAAGACAACATGAAGATAAGATAAGGGGTGAATTCTGTAGTCCAGCAGAGAAGAAGTGGAAAGGTCTCACAATTTTGCTTGGGATAATGTAACAGAGATACTCTGTTGTCAGTTCAAACAGGAAGCTAGGAGCACACTGGATTTATGCCAGATCAATGGATATTTTTCTGTATTTGCAGTGAAACATTAAGAAATTTGCATGGTTTGCAAAGATGCATTAATTGTGTTTTTCTTAATTCACCCAGAAATGATAAATCAAGACAGATAAAGAATGAAATACTTTGGAAATATAAAATAATGAATGCCACCAAGCCCTGATTCTCACTTCCCCCTCCTAATTCCCTCTGGTTATTTTTTCTGTACCTGCCTGTCACTCTACTAATCTTGTGTTCTGAAGCCGTGTATCTCATTAAAAAACAATTAAACTAATGAAATCAGAGAAAATTGATGAGTCAATATACTAACAGTTAATACATTGCTTGGATTCAGCAGAGAGAACTGTCATTAAAACCCAACCCATTGACACTCTAATATGCAGTGGTATTTGGGGCAACGTGATTATTACATCTGTGATCACAACCATATGCATCCTATTATGAGCAGACATTGTGTACTACAGAGTTTCCTGGTGTCTTACATTAACTTAACACACAGTTTGCAGAATGAAATGTATGAAAGTGACAGACTGTTTAATAATGTATTCACATTTAAAATCCATTTCACACCTCCAAATAAACCAATCTCAGGATAACATCTTTTTTTTTTACCTGCAGATGGTTTATTATTATTATTATACAGTATTTATAAAGCACCAATAGTTCGCTCAGCGCTGTACATTACAAAGGGGGACAGAACATGTGACAGAACAATACCAATACAATGCAAAACATGAGGGGTTCGAGGGCCCTGCTCTTTCGAGCTTACAATCTAGGAGGGAGGGGATGGTGGCACAGGAGGAGAAAGCTGTGGGGCATAGAGTGGTAGGAAGAGTGGAGGAGGTCAGCAAGTTAGCAGGGGGTGGGGTAGGCTTCCATGAAGAGGTGGGTTTTCAGGGTGCGCCTAAAGGAGAGGAGAGTAGGTGATAATCTGATGGGTTGGGGCAGGGAGTTCCAGAGAATGGGTGACACCCTGGAGAAGTCCTGGAGGCGAGCATGGGAGGAGGAGACCAGGGAACTAGAGAGAAGGAGGTCTTGTGAGGAGCGGAGTGTGCGTGCTGGGTGGTACTTGGATATTAGGTTGGAGATGTAGTTCGGGGCAGTATGGTGGATGGCTTTGTACGTCAGTGTTAGGATTTTGAATTTGATCCGTTGCGCAATCGGAAGCCAGTGGAGGGATTGGCAGAGGGGGGTGGCGGAAACGGAGCGGTTGGAAAGGTGAATGAGTCTGGCAGCCGTATTCAGGATCGACTGAAGCGGGGATAGCCAGCGGCGAGACAGGCCAGTAAGGAGGGAGTTGAAGTAATCAAGCCGTGATATGATGAGGGAGTGGATGAGCTGTTTATGTGTAGTAGTGAATATAAAAATGATGGAGTAAGGTTTTTCTGAAAGCCTATCTAAGAGCACTATGATGTTATTAGTAATTTGAATGAAGAATAACCAACTGATGTAGAC